GAGCAAGACTTTATCTAAAAAAAAAATATATATATATATATATATACACACACACATATATATATATGCTCCTATCATGTGTTACCACTTTAAGGGATGTCACACTCAGTTAGCATATTAAAATTATAGTAAAACTTTAATAGTGGGTGCTAGCCATGTAGGAGAAAAATGCCCTCTTGTTCATCATTTAAACCCTATGTTTATCTGAAAATAATGTTTAATATAAAGAAATTATTGAGGGTAGGAAAATAAAAGAAAGATATACTCAGGGGAGTCATTCTGTTATATTCCTTGAAATTATATCTATCTTTTTCTTTTAGAGTATTTTTATATGTGTAATGATATAAGCTCATCTTTGGAAAGCACATTAATGATCTTTAACGTTATAGGGATAGAGTAAATGGGATTTGGGAATATGGATTAATAAATCATATACTCTTTGTTTAAATGTTTTATTTAATTTTTGAATAGCTAATGTATTCACATAACTTGAACATCAAAAAATAAAAGCAGTGAAAAGTTTCCTCCCCATATTCGCCCCCATCTTTCTAGTTTCTGTCACTCCCCTAGTAGGTAACTATTGTTATTAACTGCTAGTTTATCCTTCCAGAGATGTTTTATGCATGTAACTAAAACAAACCTGTATTCTTCCCTACATCGGTAGAGGAGTTTTGTTTTGTTTTGTTTTGTTTTGTTTTTTTTGTTATAACACTAATGGTAGTGTGCTTTTCTGAATTTTATTTTTACATTGTAATGTATCTTGGGTATCTTTCCGTATGCATACATGAAGGCCTTCTTTGTCTGTTTTAGAGAAGGGTAGTATTTCATAGTATAAATGAACCATCGTTTTACTAACATCGTTTAGTCTGTCCCCTATTGTTGGACATTTAGATGTTTCCCATCTTGCCTTATTATATATAATGTTTCAGGGAATGGCCTGTGTAAATACTATTCTACATATGGACAAGTATATTATCTTTCGGATACATTCCTAGGAATAGAACTGCTGGATCAAAAGAAGTCTACATTTGTAATTTTGTTAGATATGATTAAATCATTTTCTCTGGGGATAGTGCCAATTTGCACTTCACTGTATAATCGTGTTTGAGAAACGTGAACCATGATTGATGCTCATTTATCTGGACAAAAATAAATTAGACTTCTTAGAATCTGTAGCTCAGTTCCTGTTAGACATGTACAGAAGGAAATGCACTGGAGAGCTGAAAAAAAATTGCTCTTCTGATTTATTCCTTTTTTTGACTTTGAATACTGAAGTCCAAAGAGGAGAGTGACTTGCACAAGGTCACATAGCTGATTAGTGACAGATCTGGGACTTATAACCTGTAGTCAGATCTTAGAATTGGTGTTCTTTCCACATGAGTAAAGAGATGATAACTTTCTGTCATTCCTGCCTGTGTGCTGAGGATTCCTTGTATGCTGCTGTTGACGATGACATTTACCATTTCTTGAGCCTTCCTATGTATCAGACTTTGAATTTAATACTTCTGTTTACATTATCTTATTTATACCAAGGGATTCAAAACTCATGTGCAAGATAAAGCATTGTCCATAGACTTTGCATCCATGTGTATTACATATGTATGTCCACTATGAAGATGCTACTGTGTTTAATAAAACATAAATCAATACAAAGCATCATTAAAATTATAATAGCTCTTTGTCTCTAACATGTTCTCAATGGATTTTGAAACTATTATTGTGAATAATTAGTCATGATATTTTGATATTAAAAAGAATTCTTAGAATCAGTGAGCTGCTTAACCATGTTTAAGATCACTTTTAACTGCCCAGATATCATTCTATTTTCCATCCATCTCTATTATTAAAGGTTAGATATTAATAATGCTACACAACACAGAAGAGACAACAGAGATAATCTAAATCGGAGATTTATTTTACAGATAAGGAAAAAGGCAAGGACCACTGAAATGATGGGTTTATCTAAGACATGATGACTAAAGGGCTGGAGCAGGAATTCAAAGACAGGCCTCCTGACTGAATTTTCTAACAGAAAATGAGAAACTCAGTGTGGAGTAGTTACTCATAAGTACTACGGACAATTACAATAATGAAGGAGATTTCCTGTCTAGCCTCATATTGATTCACCTCCAGCTTTGTGGATCTGAGAGGTCATCATGTTGGTCGATAATAACACTTGATCTTGGCTGCTTTAAATTTAATATAGAGCATAAATACAAAGATCAATATTTTAATGCTGAGGAGGCTCATTTATTGCCTGTTTATCCTCAGAACTTTAAATGAAATGGAGGACTAAAGAAATGCAAGGAATAATTTTTCCTAAATTTCATTTAAGTTTTGTAGATGATGATGACTAAAGAAAAGCAAAGGAAAAGTTTATGATGTCACTATTTCCTACACTTATGGGCTTCTCTCGCTTTCTCTTTCTCTGTTTCTCACTTATCCCTCCCTCCCTCCTCCCTCCCTCTTTCCCGTCCTCCCACCCCGCCCCCGTTAATATCTCTAAGCCTCCTCTTTACTTTGCTTAATGTCTTTTATGACTCCAGATAAGAGGCACTTATTCTTGATCTTCTCCATCCACAACATAAGAGAACCATGGTCATGTCCCGTTGTTCTTTCGTATATTAAGTGTTTGATGTTTAGAAGCAGTAGGGAAGGGGGTAAAAAGCATAGACTTTGCCTTCAACAGTGGGAACAAGAGGGCCAAAATGGCCCTGGAACAACATTTCCCAAAGGTGAAATTGTGGAAATCTAGTCCTATGAGGTGTTCTTCAAAGTACAGGTTCCAATCGTCAACTGGATTTAGGAAACAGAGCATTTTGTATTCTCCTCCTGGAGATGCACAACTCCTTACGGCATTTTAAATACCCACTGAAGTCTTGCAGTAAGGTAACTGGTGTGATATAATTTCACCTTTTTTTTTTTTTTTTTTCCAAATTTAATTGACCTTTAAACCCATATCATACCGAACCCATTTGGGGAAATACTGCTTTATAGAATTGTGTGTTATTCCAGTTCAATTTTTCTGCCATTTGTACCCATTAGAAAACGTAGAATATCATAGTTGGGTATAAATAACAAGTAGCCACAAGGGGGGAAATAAAGTAAGGCTAAGCACAATCTCCTTCCTTTATGGATTCTAACATTCACTAAAGAAACTAAAGTACAGTATTCATATAAATATTTACTACGGTACAGGACTTGTATTGCTTGAATTTATGCAACTCTTGCTTGTTACTTTTGTTCTAAAAAAATGATATCACTGTGTGCTATTTTTTTTCCTGAGTACACCTCAAGCCCCTTCATCCTTCACTTCTATATTGTAGTGGTTCTCACTTTAAAAGTAAGTTTACCTGTGAAACAACATCTGCGTGAGTTTATTAGTGAAGTTTTGTATGCCTCCTTTGATCACATGAGCCCCTCTTTAATATCGGCTACAAGGGTTTACATACTGCTTCAGAATTAATCATGGAAACCAATGCTTTAGGTCTTTTCTCAAACATCAAACAGTAGCATCAACATTTAGTGGGCAACCAACAGAGATTTTTCTTTTCTTTTTTCTCTTTCTTTTTTTGAGACAGAGTCTCACTCTGTTGCCAGGCTGGAGTGCAGGGGTGCGATCTCTGCTCACTGCAACCTCCAACTCCCTGGATCAAGTGATTCTCCTGCCTCAGTCTCCCAAGTAGCTGGGATTACAGGCATGCACCACCATGCCCGGCTAATTTTTGTATTTTTAGTAGAGACGGGATTTTATTATGTTGGCCAGAATGGTCTCGATCTCCTGACCTCGTGATCCACCCACATCAGCCTCCCAAAGTGCTTGGATCACAGTCGTGGTCCACCATGCTTGGCGAGATTTTTCTTATAGTGACTTATTGGCTGATATTCAAATGCCATATGCATTTTTTTAACTATACCATATTCTTATTTTTGAATACTTTTATTATTCTGTCATTCTTGTTGGAATTGAGTGGTACTGATTAGTCAACACAAATAATTTCATTATAATATTCCAATTACATTAGATTGAATTTTCTTTGTGATCAAAGTTGATTGGTTGTTATGATTTACATCAATGAAATGGACTAATAATTCAATTCACTGATAAGATTGGCAAGCAAGAGTTACAAGGCATTTTCAAGTAAATTTGATTAAAATGTGGGGTTTTTCTTCTATTGTTTCTTAAAATGAGAACAATCCTCTTTCACTACGTTCCTAAAGTTAAAAGTTTATGTGTGCATAGAGATTAAAAGAATAGCACAATGGCTTGTTGTGTATATAAAAATATCAAATTTTGTGTTTTTCAACATAAATAGGAGTTGAAAAGTATAGGTTGCGTTAACATGTTTGAATGTTTTAATAATACAACAAAATAGATAATTAACTATTAACCTATTAAAATAGGTATGAACTATTAGCATACCTTATGTAGGTGATGATTGGTAGGTTATACTTTCTAAATTGGCAGGAAGATTTTGCAGTTTTTCTTCTTAAGGTATAACTGATTATTAAAAATTCTCATCTTTTTTTTTTTTTTCTTTCAGAAACTTGCTTTTCTTTATTGTGTACAATGCCTGAAAATTGCCTTAAAAGTAAGCTAGGCTAGCACTGGCTCTTCCTTCATATGTCAATCTAGATGTTCCTTTTGCAGGCAATTATTCCTCAGTTTATTTCCCGCCAAAGATTTGTCTTTTTCCAGGGAACCAATTATGTACATCTTATACTATAATCTGTGTCACTTGAATCTGACCAAAAACTATGAAACAATTCACTGGTTGGGAATTCCTTTTCACAATTATCATCTTCCTGGGAAATTGCCTACTTAAGGAGGTTGTGCTACTTAAGATCTTCTACCAGAGAAATATTTGCATCGCCAATGTATTGCTTAGCTTGCTTGTCTTCAGGCTCTAACACAAATACCTAAAATAAACAAGTATTATTTATGTAAAAAGTGAAAAATACCTTGCTTATCCTCTTTTTCCTTCCTTTTGTATTTACAGATGTCATCCATACTGTAGGGCCAATAGCCAGAGGCCATATTAATGGTTCCCACAAGGAAGACCTTGCAAATTGCTATAAATCATCTCTGAAGCTGGTGAAAGAAAATAACATCCGATCAGTTGTAAGTAATTTTATGGTTTTTATTTCTCACTCTTTTTCAGCCTTTATGCTTTAGAAATCTGTCTTGTCTAAAAAGAGGTAGGAAACCATTTCTAAACTTTTGAGAACTAAGTTTAAGGATCTTTGTAGCCAATTTGGTAATCATGACTCTCCTCTTTGGTGTGCTACAAATATTTACTGAATTTTTCATGATGTTTCAGAATTTAAAACTATAATACCCCAGAACTGGATTTATCTTATCTACTTTTTCCTCTTCATTTTGCCACTTACTTTCCTTTGGAGAAAGTAAATATTATGGTAGTGGGGTAGTGGCCAGCAGATTTAAAGAAGGAAAATAGCAAATACTGAGTTTGTTAGAATAGTGTGCATTTAATATATATTGGTTGTATGTTTGTGCGTTCTGGAGCTATGTTGAATCTCTGTCTACATGCATGAGTGTCTGCATGCATTCTCATGCTAGTGTCAGACATGATTTATTTGCAGGAAATTACTCTGTGTATGTATTTTAACCTGAATGTTGTTAGTCTTTTAGATTTATTTTACTCTTATTAGACTAATATTCTGTAGGTGGTAGCTGGGTATACCACATCTCTTCTAAGTTTTATCAGTAGACAAAGGGAGTTCAGAAAATGTGGATCTAATCTATTTCTTTACCAATAGGCTGAGATGAAAGGAATTCTCTTCTAGCTGGATTTGGAGGTATTTACTCACCTGCTTTTCTTTTGCAACATGTTCTACCTTTATTACATCTCAATTACACCAAGAAAATCAAACTATAGAAAAACACACTGTAAATATCTAGTAATAAGTTAATTTGGCTAGAATCCCTTGGTTGTTCCCCCTCCCCCACAAAGATTATAGCCTTGCTGAAATTGTGGGGCAGAGAAATAGTTAAATACTTGATTTCATAGCAGACTGAATAGATCAGCATTGCTTGATAGTTCACAGAAGTAGTGGTTTTATGATCTGCATGAAGAAGCATTGAGAAACAGATACATTTAGGTAACCCTGGATGGTTGCTATACTTTTTGTGCATGATTGTAATTATGAAGTGCATTTTTTAACGCAACATTGGTGAGTCTGCTTGAAATAAGGAAACTTTTCATGACCTAATTATATAGTCCTTTTTAATCTTTGGATAATTATTAACAGAGCTGGATATTTTATTTATCTCTTTGACTTTCTAAAATTCTGTTTGCAAAGGGCTCAATACGTAAGATCCTATTCTGTCTTAGAGGTGAAAGCTGAAGTTTAAAGAGAATGGAGCAAAGTATACCACAAGACCAGTTGGTTAATTTTGTTCTGTATAGGAAAATAAGAAAAATCAAAACAGGTATGCACATTTAGGGAATAATTAAAATTTTGTCAATATGGCTTATTGATTTAAAAAAGCAAAAGGCTGAAGTGCTTGGAAAATGGATGTGTAGACAAGTTTCCAACTTGGGAAATATGGATTTTGAGACCTGAGAGAATTTGCTGTCTCTGGATATCATTGGCATCTCTAATGATTTGTTTTTAAAAGTCAAGAAAAAGTAAGAAGGAAGAATTTTGCTAGAAACAGTATAAAAATAACACTCAACCTTTTAATAGAGAAAATAATCTCTATAATTATCTTAAAACAATCATGTTACTCTACTTGCTACCATTAGATAAGGAATGGAAGAATTATGGACTAAGTTAACTTTTTAACGAATGGCATGCAGATAGGCTGAAGTAATGTTCTTGCAATACTCTAGTCAATCTTTGATAGGAATTAGATCTACCTTAACATCTTTGATGATTATTTTGAAGGACCAATTACATATTATTTGAATGAAATTAGCAGGTGAGGCTGAGCTGAATTCAACCCAATATTAATAAATAAAAATGGAGATAGAAAATACACAAAATGTGGGATGAAATGTCCAACGAAATTGATCATCATGTTCTTGCATGGTAGACTACAGTTGCCATCAAATGTCATGTCTCTTTTACCCATAAAAAAGAAAAGTATTTTTCTTTTCTTTCTCCCTCCTTCTCTTCCTTCCTTTCTTCCTTTTTTTGGAGTAGATGGGGTTTTCTTCTTTATATGGTATGTCATGTTCTTGATCACCATTAAATAAATAATAATGCCAATGTCATCACATTCTGATTATGTAGAGAGAAATAGAAAACTTTCAGAAACATGATTACAACTGGATACATGTTTTATAGTATAGGCTTGTATTTTGTCAACTTATCACAATGGATGGTAGAAATGGTTGATATAAAAAGCCTGGTTATTAGGATGCAAAATAAACTTAACTTGAACTCATTTATATACCTGTCAAAAAGAATTTCTCATAAATCCTTTTATCAGAGTGGCTTAGTGTTTGCTTTGCCACTTATTACTGTATGACTGTGGACAAGTAATGTCAACATTTTGTAGCCTCGGTTTCCACATATAAAGAATCAGTAAATTACTACTGTTATTGCAGACCTGTCCATCTCATGAGGCTGTTGTTACAGGGATCAGTCGGGATAATGAGTATAAGATAACTGGAAGAATGGAATTCTTTCAAAAGTATTTGACAGTGTTACTTCAAATATAAGACATTTTCACACCTTGTGATTTGGCAATTTAAGGAAATATCACTTATTTCTTTGATATCTATTCTGAACACCAGAATGCTAGACATTTACTATGTAATTTCTTGATGTTTTTAAACAACAGGGAAATGTCCAGAAATAAATTAAACATTTGATAGGCACCACTTTTCTGCTAAGGTTAAACCAAAGGCTTTAGAGTCACAGCACAGGGTCCAACATATGTATTCTTATTCTTATTTTACCAAAAGAATAGATTCTTCAAATATTTTTAATGAATATAAGACAAATAGTATGATTATTTATTTAATAAATATGAGTAAGACCTATTGTGTACCCCAACATTATCTGGTATCTTCTATGACATAGAGAAGATCTAATGGTTGTTTCCTAACAAAATATGCCTCCACCTTATGACCACCTAGACAAATAAATGGACAAGATCATCATGTCCACTGTGATTTGAGTATACTCTCTAGTTCTCTCATCACTTTTAAATATCTTCTTAGAGATGCATGAAATTCCATAATTCATGAGTAATTTAGGATGTTAAGGCATTGTTCTTTCTCTGTAATTTTCCTTTAAAATGCAGATACTCATGAGATTAGTAGATAATTAATTTTCTAATACTTTAATATGAAGAAATTTATCAAATTACTTTTCATGTTGACAGGATAGAGTATGATAAAAGTACTGAGCACCTTAGCCTGGGGGAGGAGAATTGGAGAAAGGTCTGAAAGGAGATGGAGAAAAACAGAAGAAGAGTAGGGTATAATTAAATTTCACCTACCTCTCAGTTTTGCTAAGAGGAGATCGTTTTTGAATAGTGGAGAGGGAAATGTTATAGTCATACATAATTATCTAGAAATAAGATACTGATTTGGGTGTCAGATGTGTTGTGGATAAAAATTTTTACTATGAAAAAATACTACATATTTTATTAACTTAGGGGAAAAAATTCATTACATTTCTCTCCTCCATACATTCTTTGTGACAGCTGTTTTTTCATACCTATTCACATTAGCTTTAGGTGGTAAAAGAAAAAAATAAATTAATCAACAAACCTAATGGCTCATTTTACAATGGCATTTCTCTTTTATGAATGATTATTTAGGGCTTAATATCAGGAAATATTTAAATGTAAGGTTTTAATCCTGATTCTCCTTCTAATCTTACCATAAATAGTTTCAATTGAAAAAATATGACCGTCTTTCATGCCTCCTAGACCTAGTCTGTGCAAGTTTCTTATTTCTTCCAAATATTATTCCTTATTGACTCCAAATGTTAAAGTCAGTTACTTTTCTTTAACCGTGAGTTACCCTTGGACCCAAAAAATGCAAATTTATTTATATATATATATTCTTGACAACCTTGAGATTGTTGATGGCAAGATAGGCAAAATTTAAGGCACCACGAAGAGGATAATTAGCAGTCTAAACTGGAAATTGGAGTGTGAATAAAAGAAAACTTTAAAAGGAGATCAGGGAGCCTACAGATTTTCTCTGTAAAACCTTGGGAAAGACAAAGATATTATAGATGTCAAAAAAGAAAAAAGACCCAGGTTGAATCCCTGACGTCTATGTGACCTGAGGAATGCATAGTCAGATTGGTGAAATCAGGCATCTGAATTATGTTGATTTCTAGAACAACAGTGTGCCCTGAAACAAGGAAAACTACACATATACATGATATCCTTGGCTATATATATGTAAAACATGCTAACAGAAATTGTGTGTATTGGTGAAAATCTTGGTGAAACCTCAGGGGTGAGTGTAGGGGTGAAGACAAGAAAGAAAAATTTCTATTGAGCAAGAGCTGGAAAATGAAAATGCCTGACTTTGTATCCATTATCACATGCACTGTTGGAGAGGATGACAGAGATATTTTCTCATGTATCATGCTGTCTTTATTCTTTTTGTCTGTGAGCATACAACTATTTTGTAATGATTTTTATGTGTTTATCTTGACCTCTATTTCCCTTCTTTTAACATCATGTTCATTTAAAAAAAACCTAATCCATGCCATACAAAAGGGATCACAGCAATTTCTTCTTCTAGAACCAGTTCAAAGGCATAGATTTATATTTGTCAATGGTATTAGATATTCGAGAAAACTATTTTCACTGATGAAATACAATGCACCCTGTCTGACATTCTTCTAATGACAACATGTAATAAAGTAGATACTTTAGTTTGAAAAAATCATAATCTTGAATATAAGCCAGATTTTACTTAGGCTAAAATTATTTTCCCATGAAAATAAATAATTGACATAGGAATTTGTTGATTTTATGTGATTATGGGCAAACTAAAACTTGTTTGTTTGTTTAAATGGCGTGTGCTATCTGTGGTTTCCACAGGCATCATGCTGGATGATTTTTTGAATGAAAAAACATTGTAAATTTTTGCTGGTAAGAACCACACAATTTCAATGGGG